ATGGTAGATACACACAGTGCAGTACTACCCAACGATAAAGAACAATGATGAATCTGCGAAGCATCGTAGAACATGGATGAATCTAGAGGGCATTATGCTGAGTGAAGTAAGTTAATTACAAAAGGATAAATATTGTATGAGACTGCTATTATAAAAACTCGTGAAAAGGTTTACACAAAAAAGAATCTTTGAAGGTTATGAGGGAGGGGAGGGGTGGGGGAGAAACACTAAACAGACAATAAATAAGTGGTAACTATGGTGAAGTGTAAGACAGTACACAATACTGGGGAAGCCAGCACAACTTGACCAAGGCAAGATCATGGAAGCGCCATAGAGACATCCAAACTATCCGAGGGACTGAATTACTGGGCTGAGGGCTGTGGCGACCTTGATCTCAGGGAACATCTAGCTGAATTGGCATACCATAGTTTTATAAAGAAAATGTTCTACACTCTACTTTGGTGAGTAGTGTCCAGGGTCTTAAAAACTTGTAAGTGGCGGCCATCTAAGATACTCCACTGGTCTCACCCCATCTGGAGCAAGGGAGAAAGAAGAAAACCAAAGACACAAGCGAAAGATTAGTCCAAATGTCTAATGGACCACAAATACCACAGCCTCCATCAGACTAAATCCAGCACAACTACATGGTGCCCAGCTACCCCCACCAACTGCTCTGACAGGAATCACCATAGAGGGTCCCAGACAGAGCTGGAGAAAGATGTAGAACAAATTCTAACTCTCCAAAAAAAAAAAAAAAAAAAAAAAAAGACGAGACTTACTGATCTGACAGAGACTGGAGAAACCCTGAGAGTATGACCCCTGGACACCTTCTTAGCTCAGTAATGAAGTCACTTCTGAGGTTCACCCTTCAGCCAAAGATTAGACAAGCCCATAAAACGAAATAAGACTAAAGGGGCACACCAGCCCAGGGACAAGGACTAGAATGCAGGAGAGGATAGGAAAGCTGGTAATGGGGAACCCAAGGTTGAGAAGAGGAGGGTGTTAACATGTCATGGGGTTGGACACCAATGTCACAAAACAATATGTGTACTAATTGTTTAATGAGAAGTTAGTTTGTTCTATAAACCTTCATCTAATGTACAATAATATAAATAAATAAACCTTTTGGTTTGTAGCCAAGTGCTTAACTGTTGCACCACCAGTGTGGTAGGCAATGCCAGAATTTACTCTGAAAAGGAGAGGGGCGGTGGGTAACAGCCATTACAGAGAAAAAAAACACAGCAGTCACTGTATCAAATCGGTATCCCTCTGCATGATTAAGCCACCACTCATCTGTCAGTTTGTCCTACCTTGGTGGCTTGCATGTTGCACTGATTCTGGAAGCTATGTCACTGGTATTTCAAATACCAGCAGGATCGCCTATGGTGGACAGGTTTCAGCAGAGCTTCCAGACTAAGAAGAAAGGCCTGGGGATCTACTTCCAAAAACTAACCAGTGAAAATCCTATGGAGCACAACAGAACAATGTCCAACTTCCTTGCTTTGGATGTGTCATTAGCAGGGACCAGTCATTAGAGGAGGACAACATGTTTGGTGAAGCGGAGAGACAACAAGGGCAAAGGCTACCCTTGGTGAGATACATTGGCACAACAGCCGTAATGATGGGCTCAAACATGCCGGTACTCATGAGGTTGACACAGGACCAGGCAATGGTTTGTTCTGTTATACATAAGGCAACCATGAGTCAGAGGAGACCTCACAGCAGCTAACAACAACAGCATGATCAAGCATTAAAACAAAATGCTTTTGAACAAGTTGTGATGGATGGAACTGTGTCCCCCCAAAAAGATATGCTAACCTATCCCCTGGTACTTCTGAACATGACACTGTTTAGAAATGAGATCTTCGAAGACGTTATCACTTGAGTTACCATGAGGTGTGTCTTAATCCCATCGGAGTCATGTCCTTACAAGAAGAGAAGAGGCACAGAGGGAAGACGGCCTTGTGGGATGCATCTACCAGAAGCTGGAAGAGACAGGAAAGGATCTTTTCCTAGGAGAGAGCATGGCCTGGTCAACACCCTGAATTTGGACTTCTAGTCTCTTAATTCATGAGATAATAAATTTCTGTTGTCTCAAGCTACCTGCTTTGGGGCACTTTTCCTAGGACACTCATACATTAGTGGTACACTCCAAAGGGCTTACAAACACACACAGCTAAAGCCCAATGGTGAAGCCCAGGCCCCGTGTTCACCACAAGTTCACGCATGATGACTAAAACATGTTTCTTAAATTAGAGCTAGAAACTGCAGACCATCTGGCAATCAACTCCCAGCTCCTCCTCTTGGCAGTAAACATCTTCATAACCTTGACCTTGGTCTTGCCAAACTTGCCAACAGTTGATTATCAACGAAACAGCTTCAGACGCCAAATCCTGATTCATCAAGGAATACGCCAGCTGTGTTCCTTTCAATTTTCTGTGGATCATGAAATTTTGTGGCGTACGTGGTATCCTGATCACAGGATTCACCCAAGACAAAATTATGAAAATCTTTAGTAATGCCTGGACGTTTGGGTAATTAAGTACCTAATAGATAAAAGGGAAATGCATGGTTGGGGTACCAGTGCCTTGGCATCACCTGACTCATGTTAAGTAAAGCAAAATGACATAGAAATCAAGTGACTTGAAGGGCTGCTATCACCACAGGAGGCAACAATTTCCAGCAAGATCTCCTTGGCTATTCCCTCATACATATTACTAACCATGCATCTTCAGTAAAGGTTAAACCAGTGTCTTCATCCCTAACATCAGGCTGTAATATTTTGCTCAGTGTCTATGATAAAATGCTTGCTCTAAAGCCTGAAACAGCAGTACCCACGTCCAGTGCAATGCCCTGGCAGTTCTCAGGTTTCTATGCCATACCTACTGGTAGTTTTCAGGCTGGAAACCAAAAATCCAAACTCGTTGCCATCAAGTCGATTCCAACTCACAGCGACCCTACAGGACAGAGTAGAACTGCCCATAGGGTTTCCAAGGAGAGGCTGGTGGATTCAAGCTGTGACCTTTTGGTTAGCAGCCAAGCTCTTAACCACTGCAACACCAGGGTCCCTCAGGCTGGAAGATGCATGTATAATCAAATCATATGATTACTGCAAAAATGCTCAGAGGTTGTTTTATGCATGCAGTAGTATACAGAAATCCTGATGGCATAGTGGTTAACAGCTGTGGCTGCTAACCAAAAGGTCGGAAGTTTGAATCCACCAGGTGCTCCTTGGAAACTGTATGGGGCAGTTGTACTCCAAGCTACTCACAAACCTTCGTTATAAATTTACCCATAAATGATTATCTCCTTGTGGAAATTACATTCCTATCGGGGTAACAAAATAGCTCTAATAACAGGTAAAACAAATTATAACTACGTTATAATTACTTCAGTACCATCTACAATTGATTTTTTTCCGAACATTTTCTCAGAATTTGCAGAGTCAAATTCCACAGCTGTTGAAGTATTATTACATCTATACCACTAGGGTAACCCAGAAACAATTTCATAAAAAAAGGATTATTACATTTCTGTTCGTTATATGTTACATTCCAAACCAAAAATCAAACCCGTTGCCATCGAGTCAATTCCGACTCATAGCAACCCTATAGGACAGAGGAGAACTGCCCCACAGGGTTTCCAAGGAGCAGCTGTTGGATTTGAACTGCCAACCTTCTGGTTAGCAGCTGAGCTCTTAACCACTGCACCACCAGAGCTGCTCACAGAAACACCTGTAGGACAGTAGAACTGCCTCATGAGATTTCCAAGGCGCAACTGGTGGATTCAACCTGCCAGCTTCTTGGTTAGCAGCCAAGCTCTTAACCACTGCGCAGTCGGGGCTCCAATGATACATTAGCATGAAGAAAAGGTTCTATTGGTATGGGCACACACAGATACAGATACGGAGAAACAGATAGAACTATATGTTCAGATACATAAAAGAATGTATGTAAACTATATCAGAACCCTTTACCATCGCGTCAATTTGAACTCCTGGCGACTCCATGTGTTACAGAATAGAACTGCTCCATAAGGTGTTCTTGGCTGTAACCTTTATGAAAGCAGATCACCAGGTCTTTATTTCATGGCATCACTGGTGGATTTGAACTGCCAACGTTTAGGTTAATAGTGTAGTGGAAGTCGTTTGCACCACCCAGGGACCTAATTATATCGGGGGAGTTGTTATTCATGCCAGTTGATGTTTTGGTCTTGTTGAGCTCCTGTACTTGGAGGGGAGCCCTGGTGTGCAGTGGTTAAGAGCCTGACTGCTCACCAAAAGGTCGGCAGTTCATATCCCAGCCACTCCTGGAAACCCTATGGGGCAGTTCTACTCTGTCTTATAGCGTCGCTACGAGTCAGAATCGACTTGACGGCAACAGCAACAAGGAGGAGATACGTTAACTAAAAAGTTTCAAAGCCATACAGGACTTGGTTATGACATACATATATTGCTAACCACCACGCACATGATTATTTCAAAACTGGTCTTCTGGAAGAAAAGGAAATATTATTTATACATAGTTACATAGGAACACATTTATTATATGATGTGTATATGCTTAGGAAATATCATCTCCTGGATAAGTTCATGTGTTAACTATGCAAAAGAATACGAATGGGACATTTGTAAAATTTAAAAAAATGAATATTCTTCAAAGTCTTTCACATATATTGATAGGATCTAAGAAATAAAGCTTATCCTTTTTTGTTTTAGTTGAATAAGCAAAGGTTTATTATTAGTTGTTCCACAAATAAATTATTTACATTCCCAGTAACTAACGACACAGAGTCCTTTCTAAATAACTACATAACATTTAATTATCACTTTTAAACTATTTTTGAATATTATATTTAATACTTCTTAGCAATCACATTACAATCACAAGGCACATTTACAGAAAGCTACCAACCAACTAAACTCTACTTTGCCATTACAGTTCTGTGTATAACAAGCATTTGTATGAATATCACTAGGCTATAAAAGCTTATCAAGATACCTGTCATGTTGCAATATACCAGAAACGGTCCCAGTGGGCCACTTCCATCTGAGTCAATATAGTAGAGCCCTGAAGAGTTTCCTCTGTGCTTGTAGGCTTCACAGGACTGCTCGTAGAGAGCTGTAAAGAGCACGGATGATCAGCGAGGCATTGCAGTGGGATGAATCCGTCCACGCTTTTAATTATGGGATACTTTCTCTAGCGACAATCATTCTACACTATCCCTAGGTACGTGTTCTCTAGGGGAGTGTCCTCCTATTTCAATCAGGTGTCAGAAGGAAAGACTTCAGGAGATACCACCAGGAACCTGTGAACCCAAATCCTAATTGCTCTAGTAACGTAAGACTTCTTTCAAACACTTGGTCAAATGGATTTGCTCTAGTCTTATTCTAGTTCTGCCATGTAATGTCTAAATACGTGAAGTACATTCACTTCCCTAAATGATTTGTTATTTAATACTTATGCTGAAAACATTTCTCAAATTACTCAGTAATTATATCCTTTGTTTACTTAAAACAATTTACAAGTGAAATGCATCTTTCCAATGCCGATTGTATGAATCTGTGACATTTTTCCATTCAAGTTTTAAAAGTTTGATTTACAAAGAAACTTCCTTAAATGCTTTGCAAACGATAAATTGCATCCTTGCATTGTCTTGAATTATTACATAATTATATGTATGTGAGTGTGTGTACCCACACATACACACCAGGAAGCGTTTCGTGCTGTTGGGCATGGGGTCATCATGATTTGGAGGTCGACATGAAGGCAGCTAACAGCAATATAATAGATATGATACATAGCATATATAATAATAAATTATATATATACATATTTAATCTGCCTTTTTGTAATTTCCATTTATCCAATTCATAATTGAATGTTTTTATTTGTACAGTAAATGTTTTGCTATGTACAAGGTGAGTGATTAGTGTCTGTGGACAATGGGCTTTATTAATAGTCATAATAAGTTTACACAAGTAATCAACCAGGCAACATTGCCCTGTGTGGCTCAAGTGTTGCCTTGACAGGAGACACCTTTTGAAAAACCAGAAAAGCAGGTAATGGCTGCCAGGTAATAACCACAGTCTGATTCTGGCCTGGTGTCTGCTCCAATCGCCACCGCAGCCCTAACAATCAGACTTGGTGTCGACATAGACAGACTCAGATAACGGTTAGGCAAGATACTTCAGGCTGTGTAACTACAGTACAGACAGAGAGGCTTTGTGTTTCCGCCGTTCTACACTGACAGGATTACCTACATTATTTAACTTAGCCTAAACACTCGTACAAAAATGTTTTCAAGAATTTAGGGAAAATCCAGGGAGGTGTATAAAAATTGTTTTTCTCTCATCTCACAACAAGAAAAGGAAAGAAATGTTTATTTGCCCAGGGATATTACCAAAAATATATGTCTTTTATTTTAAATATGGTTAAGTGTTGTAAGTGTCAAAATAGTTTTCCACGGGAGACTGCCTCAAAATAATAGTGCTCCTGATACCATGGAAACATAGACAACAGGGATTGTTTTCCCACCATGTTTGCATTTTTGCCACTCATCTTTATACTTCTATAAAAACATGAACTTGGTCATAACTGCCTAGAAAAAAGTCCAGAGGGGTGTACACAAACAGATAACAGGAGTTACATTTAGGTTAGAGCAGGAATTGTTTAAAGAACAAGGATTGAGGAGGTATGATTAGGAGGAATTCTGCTTTAAACATGAATGTATACATTCATTCCTTGTATTCATTATATAATTAGAACCCCAGTCCCTGTCCTATATCCCACCAATAAATAATGGCCTCATGATCACTTGCTGTAGATCTGGCAATACACCCACTCCTCACTTATCGACATGGTTAGGTTCCAATTTTCGTTATGCGAAAATCAGTGTTATGTGAAAATGGAGGATGATCACATCAGATCATAAAATGGAGGATGACTATATCATTACATAACTGCCAAACACTGAAAATCATGGCCCAGCCAAGTTGACACATAACCTTAACCATCACAGCCAGGGTTAACTCTCATCTCACACCTCCGCGTTTGTTACTGCCAGATGTATGCCGTTAACGCACAAAATGATCAGAGAGTAGATATTTCACTATTGTCATAAATGCGAAATGTGGATAACAAGAGAGTCGATAGGTGAGGACTAGGTGTATTTCATCTTCATTTGGTTCACTCATTGGAGAATCACAATAAAGTCAATTCAATTATTAAATCAATAGGTGGGCCACAGTGAGAGACCCTTCATGTTTACCTTTTAATGCCCAGAGTTGTTTGGAATTCTATTTAGATCACAGTTACTGATCACATCATAGCAATTGTTAATTAAACATATTTATTAAGTACTGGCTTTATATGAGACAACTTAAGTGCAATGGAGGACAGTCGAGGTAAAACATACCATCCCAGTCCTAATTCCGTGACTTTGGTCAAATCACTGAGCCTTTGATTTCAGAGATGCCAGCTCCTTTCAAACAAGGAATCGCCTTAGAAAAATTCTTACCTGGTACTATACCTGTGTCAGTAAATAGAGAGGCAAGTAGAATTGCTCTGGGTGGACTTAGGGGGTGCTCAAGGGGTGAGTCAGGAATCCTTCCTAATTGTCACCTCTTCTTGCTCTGCCAAGAGGCTTTGGAGCTCCTCTGTGGAGCCCCCAGGGCTGGGGCCCAGGTTCTCATCCCAGCTCCAACATTAGCTTCCCTGGGATTTGGTTTCCTTAAGCGTAAAGCTGGATTTATAACAATCTGTGCCAGCGGCATCACTGGGGGGCAGGAGGGTGTGGACTGTACCCCCTGACACTGTCAGAGAGGGCGACATCAGAATGACCCCAGGGTCCACAGTGGCAGTGGGCGGCCGGCACAGCCGGGGGAGGGGTCACCAAGGCAGTGGTGTCACTAGAATTGGTGTCGCCTAGTGCAGTAACTCATCACCACCACCACCACCACCTACCAGTCAGGGAGCGGGCGGCCGCACAGGGGTGCCCACCAGTTGGCGGAGAGGAGCGCCTCCACCTTGGTCAGTGAGAGAGGAGGGGCTGCGGGGAGCCAAAGGGGCGGCACTGGCCCTGCGCGGAGGGCAGGGTGGGGCCGAGAGCTGGCCCACACTGGGTGGGGAGGTGTAACACCATGAGTTCCTGCACTGGGTGACCAACCCTCGTGACGCCATTTATCCATGTTCTATCTTTCTCCCATGGCTTATGTGGAAATAAAATTAAATGAATAATTTATGAGGAAGAGTTCCTAAAGGTACAATGGATGACCCCAGTGGGAGGGACGAAAAATAGTGATATCAGTGACTTTTCATGTTATGCTGTTTCTCTAAAAACTCAGAAAAATAGGAAGGTGCCAAGGGAGAAGGGACTTTGAGATATCAGTAAAACCAAAAAAAAAAAAAAAAAAAAAAACCCAAACCAGTTGCCTGCGAGTTGCTTCCGACTCATAGAGACCCTATATGACGGAGCAGAATTGCCCCATAGGGTTTCCAAGGAGTGGCGGGTGGATTCGAACTGCTGGCCTCTTTGGTTAGCAGCCGCGCTCTCAACCATTACGCCACCAGGGCTCCAGAGATGTCAACAATGATACACAAATGAGAAAAAACAAAAACAAATTTAATAATTAGAAAACCCTGAGGATTTCAGGGGCTCTGTCATATGCTACTGAGAGCTAATGAATTAGTGGTCAATAAAGTTTCGTCAGCTTCAAATCAGCTTCAAATTTTACAGAGAACAATTCTTCAGAAAATAAGCGTGGTGTTTGAGACAGAAGATAGGATCGTGTGGTGGTCTCGAGCCTGCTTATGGGCACGGAGCCTCTCTCCGCCACAAAGTAGCTGTGTGACCTTGGACAATCTGTTTAACATCTCTCTCCACTCAAGTGTAAAATGCAGGTAATAATCACGCTTACCTCCTAGTGCTGTTTTGAGAATTAAATGAAATAAAATACGCAGAGCACTAGAATAGTGAAGACATATTATGACTTCCCAGTGAATGTTAACATGATCACCAACATCAACATCCTCATGAATACCAACAGCAGCAGCAACAGCAGCGGGAACATCATCATCATCAAAGAATATCAAGATTGGAAGCAACCTGGAAGTTTACCTATTTTCTGGCTAACATCTAATTCCCCTCTGCTACAACCTACCAGGTGATCTCCCTATGCAGTGCTTCTTATGAGATTCCCTTTGTTTAATTGTGTAAATATTAACCTAGTCACTCATCATGTTTCCACCTTTACTTTGGCAGACAGAACTTTGAGAACTAAAATTAAGACCCAGCTTGAGCCACAGAACCACATATGACATCATGCGTTCTTGATTTTATTTTTACTTGTTATACATATTTTATTTTCCCTTTGCCTGTCATTGACTATTTTTTTCTGCCATATTTGGTATTACGTATTTCTGTAAGCTACCTTAACATCATTAGAAAATACAATTGATTAAAGACAAACCAGTAAAGAATTATTTGGTCACTAAAATATCTGTGAATTTTTTTGTGGTTGTTTTCTAGCACGTGGTTGCACAGATGCAGACACACAAACATAAAAGAGTGAAAATGAAAATGGAAGTACATGGAAATCAGAAGAGGAAAGAGAACTAGTAACGTGTATGGCTTACGGGAATGACAGGTGGCTCCCAGGTAACCAGTGTCTGTGCAGTTGCAGGAGAAGGTATCCCAGGACTGGGAACATTCACCCCCATGTTCACAGTAGCTGGGCAAACACCTAGGAGAAGACAGACATACCACTATTTCCACAGTCAGTCATAATAAAATGTGCATCATATTACTAACATGTTACGGTAACAGATGCATGACAATAGGGACGGGAAAATTTCAACTCAGTCAAGGATTTCTGGGTCTGTCCTCCAGGTCTCCTAATGTACTACTAAACCACAAATGAATAAATCCATGAGGACGCTATTGATTGTCGTGTCTTCGTAAGAGATGCATTTTCAACACATCGCTTCATAGAAGGGGGTTTGTTGGCTTTTTTACAAATGACACAAGACTCGTTCGATACTTGACCAGGGATATAAATTGCTTGCAACAGCCACAAACAGCATACATTTTTTTCCCCTCTCCCCGCATCCATATTCTGTTGCAATGTGACAGTGCAGACCTTCCCATCAAGAGACTTAGACTATTTCACCTACTCTTGAATCCCGGCTGGGCAATGTGACCTGCTTTTGCCAATGGAAGACAAGCAAACAGATCCAAGCAGAGGCTAGAACAGGGCTTGGGCAGTGGGGCTTGCTCTCTTGCTGATTTTAACTCCTCCAGCCACCACCATACGAAGAATCCTGAGCTTCTTCACAGGGCCTAGTCACTCCGTCATCTCAGCTGACAGCTGGTCAAACACCAGACATGCGAGTGAGCCAGACTTAAACCATCCAGCTGCCAGCTTAATCCCAGGTGATCCCAGATGCATAAGCGCCCAGGAAAGACCACAGTGTTGTGAGCTAAATAAACAGCCGTTGTTGTAAGCGCTAAGTTTTGGGATAATTTGTTGCTCAACAAAAGCTAACTGATTTATGCATACATTACAATATGCTGCCATACTGAGTTACCGCATAATGGAAATTTTAAAAAAGGAAGGTAAGGACAATAACTTCATCCACAGAGCATCTCAGGGTGAGGGATTTGAGTCTCATCTAATTTAGGTCCAACTAGCAGTGCAGGGAAACCCTGGTGGCGCAGTGGTTAAGAGCTACGGCTGCTAGCCAAAAGGTTGGTAGTTGGAATCCACCAGGCACTCCTTAGAAACACTACGGGGCAGTTCTACTCTGCCCTTTAGGGTCACTATGGGTCAGAATCAACTCGACAGCACCGGGTAGTGGTGCAGTGGTTAAAGAGCTCGGCTGCTAACCAAAAGGTCAACAGTTTGAATCCACCAGCTGCTCCTTGGAAACTCTATGGGGCACTTCTACTCTGTCCTGTAGGGTCGCTATGAGTTGGAATGGACTCGACAGTAACGGGTTTGGTTTTCGGCTGATGCCTTTAGAAATTAGAATGAGAGAGAACTTAGGACTGAGGCTGTAAATGTTATTGTTTTCCCCAAACATAAAATAAACCACAAAACCACGCAGGTAAAGCCAACAAAAACCTATGCATGATGGAGATTGTGACATTTCACTTATTAAAATTAAGGATGAGCAATTTTTTAATGTTTATGAGATTTAAAAAATGTAATTGAAAGAAGGTTATTGAATTTTCTTGATTACACAAAAAATAAATATTGATTATAAGGAACTCAATACAGAAGAGTATACAGAATAAACTCAAAGTTATACCACCACATAGAACAGTGTGTATATACATATTCACACACACACAATTTTATGTAAACGTTATATTAGTTTTCTTTTGCTGCCATAACAAATTACCACGAACTTAGAGGCTTAAAATGACATAGATTTATCTCCTCAGTTATGGAGTCAAGAAACAGTTTCCCAAAGCAGCCTGACAAGGCCAAAACAAGTGTCTGCCAGCTAGGTTCTTATCAGAAGAATCTGCTTCCAAGTTCATTCAAGTTGTTGGCAGAATTCAGTTGCTCGAGTTTGTAGAACTGAGATTCCCAATTTTCTTGCTGGCCGTCAGCTAGAAAACTCTCCAGTTCTTGAACGTGGACCCTACGTCTCAGAACCAGCAATGACACATCAAATTCTTCTCTTGTTTGAAATCTGTCTCACTCTTTTTCTGCCACATCTCTTGGACTCCACTCAGACAGTTTTCTGTTTTCAAGGCTTGTATGATTTGACCGCACCCACTTGGATAATCCACCATAACCCTTCCATCTTAAAATTTGTAACCTTAATTACATCTACAAAGTGTAACATAAACTTTTTGCCATGTAACATAACTTATTCACAGGTTCCAGGGGTTAGGACATGGACTTCTTTGCTGACCATTATTTGGCCTACTAACAATATAATCTATGATACAGGTGGGCTCTGGTGGCACAGTAGTTAAAGAGCTTGGCTGCTAACCAAAAGGCGGTTTGAACCCACCAGCCACTCCGTGGGAAACAGATACGGCAGTCTGCTTCTGTAAAGATTTACCGCCTTGGAAACCCTATGGGGCAGTTCTATTCTGTCCTATAGGGTCGCCATGAGTTGGAATTGACTTGATGATAGTGGGTTTGATTTTGGTTTTATGATCCAGGTTGTATCACAACCTGCTTTTTAAGGATTCAACAATGGGTCAAGGGCATCCTTCCATGTCAGTACAGCTGCATCTTTAATGGTTACAAAATAATTTATGAAAAAAAAAAAAGAGAGCGAGTCCCCAAGCACATGAAAAAATGCTTACCATCATTAGTCATTAGGAAAATGCATATCAAAACCACAATTCAATACCATTTCACAATCATTAGGATGGTTATTATCAAAAAAATGGAAAATAATAAGTGTTGGTAACAATGTGGATAAACTGGAGCCTTTGTACATTACTGGCGGAAATGTAAAATGGTGCGGCTGCTGTGGAAAACAGCTGTCAGTTCCTCAAAAACTTAAATATAGCATTACCATATGATTCAGCAATTCCACTCCTAGGTATATACTCAAAAAATTGAAAGCAGGGACTCAGACACTTGTGTACCAATGTTCATAGATGTATTAGTCACAATAGCCAAGCGGTGGAAACAACCCAAATGTCCATCAATAGATGAATGGATAAGCAAAACGTGGTAAATATATATGTATATATAGTACGTATGCTGTTGTTGTTGTTAGGTACTGTCGAGTGGGTTCTGACTCACAGCAACCCCATGTATAATAGAATGAAACTTTGATCGGTCCTGCACCATCCTCACAATCGTTGCTATGTTTGAGTCCATCGTTGCTGCCACTGTGTCAATCCATCTTGTTTAGGGTCTACCTCTTTTTCGATGATCGTCTACCAGCATGATGTCCTTCTCCAGGGACTGGTCCCTCCTGGTCCAAAATACATGAGATGAAGTCTCGCCACCCTTGCTTCTAAGGAGCATTCTGGCTATACTTCTTTTACACAATGGAATATTACTTAGCCATAAAAAGGAACGGAATCTTGATATATGCTACAACATGGATGAGCCTCGAAAACATTATGCTAAGTGAAAGAAACCAGATGCAAAAGATCACATGTTGTATGATTACATTTACATGAAATATCCAAAATACGTATATCCAGAGAGAGAGAGAAAGCAGATTCGTGGCTGCGTAGGGCTGGGAACGAGGAATTGGCGGGGGGAGGGGGGACAAGAGTGATTGTTAATGGGTATAATTTTCTTTGTTAATGGGGTGACAAAATATTCTAAAATCAGATTGTGATAATGGCTGCACATCTCTATGAATATACTAAAAACTATGGAATCATACTCTTTAAAATGGATGAATTGCATAATATGTGAATTATATCTCAATAAAGTTGTTAAAAAATTGCAAAGATTTTGACAAGAAACAAAAACAACATCATAGTTAATGTTTCAACTAAATAGCAATCTACAACGAAGAACGTCACAAAAGATTAATTGCAACAACAAAATACTTAGTCATCAGGTACAAAAAGGACAAGCTGCTTTTATAAACCTCAAATATGTTTTTAGCCAGTATGTGCAGAATTACTGAGCCTAAAAGCACAAGGCTTTGGCACGTGTGTCATTTCCTATTCCATCGGCAGTTCCCAAACTTTTGTCGTTAATGCTTTTTTTTTATTACATACAAACATGCATAGATAAACGCAGCCCTATCTACAAATCGGAAGTGATTTATAAGATCATGATGTATGTTGATTTGCTTGTCATTCTAATTTATCTTTTAAGAAATGTCCACACAATTGTTGATAAAATGAGATTCATCACATCGTAATGCTTAAGAACGACTGAAAAATATAACTCAACCATTCAGCAACCAACTTTAGAAAGATGCAAGGAACAAGAACTACACCCGCCCTCAATACACATATAAAGTACAAACAGAATCCCTTACGGAAGAACAAAACTGAGCAGCAAACTGGAAACCAGATTCTAAAATTGTATTAACAAGAGAGATTCACATAAGTAGGATCTCACTCAAGGGAAGGATGTAACTGAAGAACTATTTTTGATCTTCTTTGAAAAGACATGAAAAAATCTGAGTAGATAACTGAAACAGGCAAACTTATGTTTACTTTTTTAAAAAGCGGAGGAGGATATATAATGGATACATTGAAACTCTACCTGGATATGCTTATTTTTAATTTCTGACCATGTTTCAGAACAGCATGTGAATCTTAAGATGGTGAACTTAGAAAAGACACTAGAAATCAGTTCGTATCGATGGGTTCATAGACGAACAAATGGTGTCAAACTTCCTTATTTACTTTTCTGAAGAGGTTTAGTAGATAAATACGTAGGAAAGGATGAGCACATTCCATACCTTGCTTTTCAGCAAATTAAAATAACAGACTGGAAAAAATGGATGGGATAAAAGGTAACAAAGTTCGATGGAAAGCTTTCCATGTAGTGTGTAAATTACTCCACACATATTTTTAAACATGAATTAGTTATACTCGATTTTAGTCATTCTCTAAAATTATGCTATCTGCTCTACATTTAGTATAAAAGTTCTTTGCCAAAGCCACGGCAAGGCCAAATGCACAAAGTCAAATATGGAGCAAAACCTGGGCTGGCAGCTCTAGTTTATCTCTACCTCTCACCCTCCCACTCGGGTGCTCAGCTCACTCTGCAACATGGCGCACCATGACTTC